GAAAAGAGAAGAGAAAAGAGAAGAGAAAAGAGAAGAGAAAAGAGAAGAGAAAAGAGAAGAGAAAAGAGAAGAGAAAAGAGAAGAGAAAAGAGAAGAGAAGAGAGACGAGAAAAGAGAAGAGAAAAGAGAAGAGAAGAGAGAAGAGAGAAGAGAGAAGAGAGAAGAGAGAAGAGAAGAGAAAAGAGAAGAGAAAAGAGAAGAGAAAAGAGAAGAGAAAAGAGAAGAGAAAAGAGAAGAGAAAAGAGAAGAGAAAAGAAAAGAAAAAAGAGAAGAAAAAAGAGAAGAGAAAAGAGAAGAGAAAAGAGGAGAGAAAAGAGAAGAGAAAAGAGAAGAGAAAAGAGAAGAGAAGAGAGAGAGAGAAGAGAGAAGAGAAGAGAAGAGAAGAGAAAAGATAAGAGAAGAGAAGAGAAGAGAAAAGAGAAGAGAAGAGAAGAGAAAAGAGAAAAGAGAAAAGAAGAGAAGAGAAAAGAGAAGAGAAGAGAAGAGAAAAGAGAAGAGAAGAGAAAAGAGAAGAGAAGAGAAAAGAGAAAAGAAGAGAAGAGAAAAGAGAAGAGAAGAGAAGAGAAGAGAAAAGAGAAGAGAAGAGAAAAGAGAAGAGAAGAGAAGAGAAGAGAAGAGAAGAGAAGAGAAGAGAAAAGAGGAGAGAAGAGAAGAGAAGAGAAGAAGAAAGAAGAAGAAAGAAGATCAAAAAGAGAAGAAGAAAGAAGATCAAAAAGAGAAGAAGAACGAAGATCAAAAAGAGAAGAAGAAAGAAGAAGAAAGAAGAAGAAAGAAGAAGAAAGAAGAAGAAAGAAGACAAAAAGAGAAAGTCTCACAAGAAAGAAGATCCAGGCGCCCGAAAAGGTAGGAAAGTCGCGAAACATTGTGTTTTTTCCAATGATTTGTGGCTGCGGAGGGTCCAAAAGTAGGCTCGTTAAAACGGCGGGTGCGGAGCTAGCTGGGCACATGAAAGATGAAAAATTGCACGCCGTTGTGGCGCAAAGCATATTTCGAAGTGAAAATGTACAAAACACACCATGTTCGGACCACTTTTGGAAGTTGAAAAGTCGAAAAAGTGCACGCTGTTGTGGCGCCAAGCACATTTCGAAGTCAAAATGTACAAAACACACCAAGTTCGGACCACTTTTGGAAGTTGAGATGTCGAAAAAGTGTACGCTGTTGTGGCGCGAAGCACGTTTGCAATTGATTCGGAGCACTTTGGATAGTTGAGATGTCGAAAAAGTGCACGCCGTTGTGGCGCAAAGCATATTTCGAAGTGAAAATGTACAAAGCACACCATGTTCGGACCACTTTTGGAAGTTGAAATGTCGAAAAAGTGCACGCTGTTGTGGCGCCAAGCACATTTCGAAGTCAAAATGTACAAAACACACCAGATTCGGACCACTTTTGGAAGTTGAGATGTCGAAAAAGTGTACGCTGTTGTGGCGCGAAGCACGTTTGCAATTGATTCGGAACACTTTGGATAGTTGAGATGTCGAAAAAGTGCACGCCGTTGTGGCGCGAAGCACATTTCGAAGTCAAAATGTACAAAACACACCAGGTCTGGACCACTTTTGGAAGTTAAGATGTCGAAAAAGTGCACGCCGTTGTGGCGCGAAGCACATTTCCAAGTCAAAATGTACAAAGCACACCAGGTCTGCGCCACTTTTGAAGTTGAGATGTCGAAAAAGTGCACGCCGTTGTGGCGCGAAGCACATTTCGAAGTCAAAAGTGCAAAAAACTGTGGGGTACGGAGAACTTTTGGACGTTCAGATGTGCTTTCGCGTGGCAGGCGCAAGGGATTGTGCACCTTGTCAAAAATGAGCAAAACGTGAGGGTTTAGTAGCATTTCCAAAAACGATGGCAGGCGTGGGACATTTGAAGAGGATCTGCAAAGATGGATTTTCCGTGGCAGGCGCAGTACAACAGACATGTTGATCAGAGATGTTAGGAGGTCAGGCCGCTGATTTCCTGAGAGGGGTTGCATTTTGGAGCATCAGATCTTCAGGTTTGCTGAGATGATTTTGCGTGACAGGTGCAGCACTTCGTATGACCTGGCATCACTTTTTCGTGGCAGGCCCAATACTTTAGGCAGATAGAGTGGAACAATCGCAAAACGCATTGGTACGAGGCCGTCAGCTCTGCACTCAACTTTGAATTTTTGAAGGAAGTCTCGCAGAATTGTTCGTTTTTGATGTTATCAATTTTGAAAAATGAGGAAGTCTCGCAGACTTGTTTCGTTTTTGATGTTGTCAAATTTCAAAATTGAGGAGGTCCCGCAGAATTGCTTCGCTTTT